CCCCCCCCTTCCCCCCCAAAAAAACCGTATCGCTGATCTTTGGAAACCTTCACAATTAGTTTGAGGGCCTTTGGATCTGAAAGAAGGCATCCGAGCCTGCTTAGTAACATGTTTGAACATGCATGCTTCACGAGAGCCAGCTCTGTATAGCTCTGTCAGTACGTTCTACTTTGGGCCCCAAAATCTATAAACGATACCTATGTTCAGCTACTCGGATCCCTAGGAATTGGGAAAAAACATATCCATGGACTTTGCCCCCATTTGGGATGTCTATTGTGACTGCTCCCCGCCAAAGTTCATCGTGGTAAGAGCATAACTCTAAACCCTAAACGTATATTGGTGAGTTTATATGTCTGCTGAGCAACTGTCAGGGTTATACAGTTAGACATGAGCAAATCCCGGATTTGAGAATCAAGTGGTTTGTTGACTAACAACCCGGTTGCTCCGTGAAAGAAAGGGTAGGATCGCTATACCCTCGACGAAAAGATGTTTCTGTTTAGCAGCCAGGGGTTTAGGCTAAGACTGAAGCCCCGGGCCCATGGGTATTTCTCAAGAGAAACTTTGACATATTCCCTCATAAGCACAGCCACAGCCTCCCTCTTTAATCCCTACATATTCCTGAACCTAACACCCTAAACCCTAAACCTTAAGCCCTAAACCCCTTGGAGTCCTCCCTGTTTTGAGAGACCTCCACATAGGTCAAGGCCGGCAAGCTTTCCAGCTCCCTCTTCAAGCGATTGGATGTTAGTGGCGCCAAGTTCGACACCCTTCTGAAGGGCCCCTAGGTTAAAATTTTGGTTTAGGGTTTAGGGTTGTTTGGGGACCTCTAGGTTTAAGTTGTTTTTGGGGGGTTTGGGGGGTGTAGGATCTGTGGTATGTTCTATTTCTTGTTTCAGTGGAAGCTGTGGCGGAAACATTGGTACCGCTACAGGGGGCTATATGGGTAGTGGGAAAAGGCTCCACTTCCGCAATCCCCGTTGAGCAACCTAAACCCTTTGAATAGGACACGTGAGCGTTGCAACCCTAAACCCCGGACCCTGTAGTAGTGTTCATGTTCTTTTGCGCCGCGCCCTGCCCCGACCCCATGAATGATCCAGAACAAGCATATCCCAAAAATCATCGGTGAAACTTGTGTCTATCTTGTAGATCCTTTAATCCCATTTCCACGTATGCACTTGTCGTTCCCAGCTCCACGCGACCCCAGTCAGGGACCCTTTTGAAGCCCCTAGACCTTAGTTTACTGGTTGTCAGTAGAGAATAATGGAATTTTCTCCCCATATAATCCCCATATAATGATTATTTTCCCTGATTCCCTACTCAACCCAAACCCTCAACCCCAAACCCCTAGTCCCTAAACCCCTAAACCCTAAACCCTGATCCCGAGACCCTAAACCCTAAGCCCCTTAAACCCTAATCCCTGACCCTAAACCCCTAAACTCTAACCCCCCAAACCCCCAAAACCCCCAAACCCTAAACCCTAAGCCCCTTAAACCCTAATCCCCCGAAAATTCAGATCCCTAAGCCCTAAAGCCCTAAACCCTGAACCCCTAAAGCCCTAAACCCTAGACCCTAAACCATACTAGGCATTGATGAGATCCTGAACTTGCCGGACCCTATTGGCCAGGTCCGCAGTTCCAAAGATTTAAGGCTTAGGGTTTTGGGGTTTGGGTGGTTTTAGGGTTTTGGATTTTTAAAGCTTTGGGCTTTAGGGTTTTGACTCTAGGGCTTTAGTGTTTAGGGCTTTGGGTTAGGAGTGTAGGGTTACTAGGTGGGACTTTACTACAACCTTAGGGTTTAGGGTTTGGTGGGACTATGTGGGACGTTACTGCAACTTCAGCAATTCAAAACTTGGGGGGCTCCTTTACTTCATTAAGGTAGGGTTTAGGGTTTAGGGTTTAGGGCGTTTAGGGTTAACAGTGAGACTTTCAGTCGGTGACTAAAGGAGCAACCAACGTTCCGTAGGGATTATAAAGATTGTTGGTTGGGGCACATCACCAACAGGTTTCTGGGTAGGCTCCAAAATCATCATCCAGTCTTACACTCCAAAATGTCGCAGTTCAGTCTCAAACCTAAACCTTAAACAGCTAAACCCCAAACTAGTCGGTACCACTGCCTCGAGAGTGCTGCCCATGATGTTGACAGCCCAGGTCACTTATGCAAACAAGGTTGCTGAGGGCTTGGACCTTTATCGGCTAACATGCCCGATCGGAGACAAGGTTGCTGTTAAGGAGTTGAAATTACATTACCAAAACCTGGGTATGTAGTATTATTAAGTAGATGATAGGGTTTCCTTGTTATGGCAACATTTCTAGTAGTTCCTTAACAGCAACCCAGGAGTTCTGCTCATCATTTTTGAGGCAAGACCTGACGCTGCAGTGCAAATCGCATCCCTGGCCATGAAGTCAGGAGAAAGTTCCACAGAAGAGCCCCTAAAAACCAGGATCCTCCTTGTACCCTTTAAATTGGGGTATATGGTCCCTACTTAGGCTATATAGAGGGTAGATGGAAGCTCTAGGTAATCTTAGTAGGAACCCCCATAAGCCACTTGTATTACCTATATATCCCTAGTGCCAGCCCCCCCCCCCTTTTTTGAGCAACTCCCAGGAAACGCTTTGCTTCTCAAGGGTGGCAAAGAAGCGCAGCGCTCCAACGCAGCCCTCGTTACCGCGATGTCGGCGGCTCTTCGGGATGTAGGTCTTCCTGCAGATTGTATCCAAGGAGTTGACACCCGCACAGAAGTTGCAGAGCTCCTGAAGCAAGACAAGTACATTGACTTGGTCATTCCAAGAGGCTCCAACGAGTTGGTCAGGTCCATCAAGGACTAGGTTGCAAAGATGACATGGTTTAGTTTTTGCTTGTTATAATCCCCCACAATATTACACAGCCAACATATACGGTAGTTGCCCAGAATAGGGGGACCCCGATAGAGAGCCCAAGATCTTTTATGGGGACCCCCCAAAGAAGTACACATTATCCTGGGGAATCCCCATATATGTATATATCCATATTTTACTATATATAGATCTACAATATACATACATTCATTCATTCATTTTTGTAGGGTTCCGTGGCAGACCCAGAGGATGCATCCCGCATTCCAGTCCTTGGCCATGCAGATGGCATTTGTGCTGTCTACGTCGATAGCAAGGCGGACCTGGACAAGGCCGCGAAGATTCTGGGTTGCTGTTCAGGAACTTAAATTAAGTTACTACATTAAGGAAACCCTAATAATCCGAATAGAAACAAATATATATATATATACACCAGTTAATTGGATTATGGTAACTTAATTCAAGTTTCTTAACATCAACCCAGGATTGTGGTGGACTCCAAGACCCACTACTGCGCGGCTTGCAACTCCATGGAGACGCTGTTGGTTCATCAGGACGTGTGTGCCAACTTCCTGCCAAAGCTTGCAGCAGCTCTTGCCGGAAAGGACCACGGCCAAAGCAGAACATCTCTTTCAAAAGGATTATCCCTTAAATCATACTGAGGCTTATCTTCCTGAATTCGGGTCTAGGGTTTAGGGTTCAAGCGAGATACCTTACATCACATGGGCTCTTTTGCTTACTTCGGGGAACATTGAGCCCTCTGGAAAGGAGGATGTGCGTTACAAGGCGGACCCAGTCTGCAGGCCACATCTGCCTTCGGGCATTACTGAGCCAGCGCAGGAGGAGGATTTTGACACTGAATTCCTGTGTCACACCATGGCGGTGACGGGGTTGTGTTCAGAAACATCTTCCAAGTTCACGTCATGCTTTGCAGGGTTCAGGTTTCAGGATTACATCAAGTGCTTCATGTTTAAAGTACTAAAGTAGAAAATCCCCACCCCCAATAAAGAATCCCCCCATAGAGAGTACCATCACATATCAGGGGGCACATGTGTTATGAGGGGGGTAGGGGGAATGCTATTCATGAGGCGAGTGCGATTACATCTTATATGTTCCGGGTGAGTTACAGGGTTTAGGTTAGGGTTTAGGGTTTGCCCGAGACAAGATGATGCGCATTCATAATCTCTATATGAGCTGTAGTCTAAACTCCTCATAGGGGGGGGGGTATATCGGGGTTATATAGCGGAGTGTTATGAGGGGTTGTTTAGGGGGATACTAGGAGTTTAGACTGTAGCTCATATAGACCCCAAACATCCCTTTGTACCCCTTAACTCGCTACTTCATCTCTAAATAATCCTTCTCGAAGATCTCCCTAGATATACCCCTTATAGTTGCCCGAAAAAGCGGCGCATTTCAGATGTCAGGTGGACGAAGAATTCCAATTGAGCCAATTCATGTGGTCCCTAAACCCTAAACCCTGTTTTAGGGTTTAGGTTTAGGGCAAGACTTAAGCTCTACCCTGCTAGTCCCTAAACCCTGTAAATCTCTACAAAACCCCTACATATCCTTTTCCACAACCCCTATCCATCCCGCTAGATCTCTATGCATCCACCCTAAGACTCAAACCCCACACTCTAAACCCTAAACCCCAAACCCGAAACCCCAAACCCTAAACCCCAAACTCTAAACCCTTAACCCCAAACCCTAAACTCCAAACCCTTAACCCCAAACTCTAAACCCTAAACTGCCTGAAGTTACCAGGTCAAGGCTGTGGCATCCGTGCAGGAAGCCATTGACCACATTAACAGCCATAGCTCTGGCCATACCGAAAGCATCGTTACAGAGGATCCTGCCCCTTGGCAAAATGGGATTTGGGGTTTTAAAGGTTAGGGCTTAGGGTTTAGGGTTAAGGGCTTAGGGTGGGTTAAGGGACTAGGGTTTAGGGCTCAGGGCTTAACGTTTAGGGTTTAGGGCTCTCATCAGAACGGAACGTTAAGATCTAGTTAAACATGTGCGCCCATGTGATTGCTGACATTTTGTGCTATAGGTGGCGGCCGAAGCGTTTCTTAGCAAAGTGGACTCGGCCGGCGTGTATCACAACTGCTCCACACGCTTCGCGGATGGCTTCCGTTATGGCTTTGGAGCAGAGGTGGGTTCCTGGATTCGATTTTGGATGATGATACTTAAATAAAAGCAATAGTAATAGTAGTGATATTGGTAAGATAATAGTAAAACTAATAATAAAATAGCAGTAATACATCGAATAATTGTAACAACAATAAAAGTGGGCATATGTAGCCATAGTGGTAATAATAATAGTAATAATAAAAAGAATAGCAGGTTGCCAACCGTTTTCCTGGCATTTGGGGGTTTGCCGATGTTCAGGATTACAGGGATTGGAGTAGAGGCGGCTCTTAGTTTTTCAAAAGCCAAGGTGTTTCGTTTGGAGCTGTTCTCAACTTTAGCCAGCAGCTCGAGCTATCATGTTGTCATCTTAAGCTTATCAGGGTTCCAGAAGTCATCAAACACCGTAACCCCTAAACTCAAAATCTATCAGCAAAAAGCCCCAAGCCCCAAGCTGCCCTGGTCATTCCCGGGGACCCCGCCCCGCCCAGGAATTGAGTTAAAGGGGATGGTTTGGGTGGGCTCTGCTATCATTACGCCTGATCCTAAAGGGGCCCCAACATGGGTTCCGAAGGCCCTCTTCGGGTACCAATGCAACCCTAAACTCCCCAAACCAGAAGATCACGGTAAAAAGAGCCCGGGGACGCCAGGACGTAATAGATATCATAGGGTCCGAACTATGGAGACTGGGGTTACCCCAAGACTTTTAGTTTTGATCATAAGCTTTATAGGACCCCTAGAGACATGTTTCCTGTGTATGAATTGTCCCTATATCTCGTGATCTACGCTATCAATACCCTAAACCCAAAACCTTACATGGTTGTAACTACGCCAGAATAGCCCTCCTATTGTAAGGTATATCCACGAATCGAATCCACGCTCGGGGTCCCGTCGGCCTCGAGGGGCTCGTGATCCACAAGTACCTTAGAGATCCTTTTAGGGTTTTGGGTTAGAGATAATGGACAAGAAAATGGAAACTACTATTTAGGGTTTAAGGTTTAGGGTTTAGGGACCTAACCTGTCCCTGGAGCTTAGAGGTCTCTGTTGTAAAGGGATTGTAGAAATATACAGGGGTAGATAGGTTCAGGGTTATTTTAGAGACTGCAGGGGTGAGCAGGATTCCCCAACTACCCTTAAACAGGGTCCATGCAGGTCCTGTTTGTGGGTATGTGGGCTATACAGAGAGGAGGCTCCAGTGCTGTCCATTTGTTGGGGCGGGTAAGGTTCCACCTAAACCTTTTGGAGTTTAGAGTTTAGGGTGGGTAATCGCCCGTAAGCGACTATCAAAACCCCAAAGAACTATGACAAACTGAACCCTGGAAAAAGGCACCTACACGTTTAACCTTTAACCATACATCCTAAATAGTAGTTTCCACTCTGGTTTCCAGTATCCCTATATAATCCCTATATAACCCCTATACACCAACACCCTAAACCCCTCAACCGCCTGCCAAACTTGGGCAACTTCACCCCCAAAAGGTTTTCGGGCTTGCGGTTTAGGCCTTATTTTAAGGTGTAGGGTGCAGTCTCTCCTCAAAAAGGGTTTAAGGTTTATATTCCAAGGTTTGGGGTTTAAGGTTTATTTCAAGGTTTAGGGTTTAAGGTTTAGGGTTTAAGGTTTTGGGTTTATTTCAGGGTTTCGGGTTTAAGGTGTTGGGTTTAAGCCTTGAACATATTTGATTTACTAGGTCTGGCCCTATTATCATTCAGCAAGCTGGACATCTCAGGTACCGGATGTACGGATCTGGTCACACTGCGGCAGGGTTTCTGTGGCATTGTGGTTTAGGATTTAGGACTTAGGGTAGGGCTTAGGGTTTAGGGAGCATTGCTGGCGAAGATGGGGGTGTCTCATAATTGGGGACCCTTAGAAGCAGGTTTTCTTTGAGGATTCTGGAAGGGTACGTTTTTCAAACGTCTAGCTTGGATAATCCGTTTTCGCAGAAAACGCAGAACGCCATGTCACAAATACATGCCGACCTTTGAACGTGACCTATTTCATTCAGGTTTTCAGGTGCATCACCGGAGCACACATTTCTGCATGCCCCTGTCCGTGGAGTGGACCGTGTCGAGGATATCCCGCAGGCTAAGAAGGTCAGAACGTGAGCGCAGCCTGGATGTGGGCACCTATGATTCCATTTCATTAAAACATCATTCTTTAGATGACGTATTTCAGTAAATTGGTAGACAATGGCACGGGCATCAAGCTTGTACAGACCATCGAACCCTGCCACTTTGTCTCAATCCGCTTCACCAGCTGCGAGACGTACCCTCCCCACCCAAACTGCCATGGAATCCATTCAGCCCCGTTTAAAGCGTTTTGGGGAGGGCAATCCGTGGCTGATCCTCGTACTTTCAAACACCTCCCCATCCCCTCGCAGTACGTATGAAAAGTGCTGCAAAATCCCAAATGTTTTAGGAAGGCAAGTAGTACAGTAGTACTGGGGGCGTGGAGGTCTTTAAAAGTAGGGGGAGGTCATGAATACATTTGGGACAGATCAAGCAGAGTCCGGCAAGGTAGTTGCATTCTGCTAAGTCCGGACCGCTTTCAACACGCCTAGGGCAAAAAATGCATGGGAAATACGGTGTCATGTCCCTTTGAAGGGGCCACAGGCATGTACAGGGTTTAGGGTTTCTCAACTCTGGGGACCTTGAGGAGACAGAGGGGGGGCTCTAATTACTAGGCAGGGGATTACAGGGATGAATTGGAGAAACAAGTGCTTAACCGCCAACAAGCGGACTGTTTTACATCCTTGGATTGTCATCTTCTGGCCAATTGCTACCTGACATATTTGTTCTGAGAGCTCTCAAGTGTGATCTGGAATAGAAAGATGTTCTGCGTTCTGATATGTGTTGGGCCAGCCGGCCAATGATATTGGCACAAAAGGAATATATGGAGGAACCCGAATGCAATTACTGTTATGCCTTGTGGTCACTGCTAGTGGTTGGGAGCCCTATCCTTAGTGCTGATCCAGTTTCGCTCCGAGACCCACAGGCGGTAAAGCATTAACGGCTGTGGGCGTGTAGATTTGGCATCTTAAGGATATTGGGTATATTCAGGATATATGTTGGGCGTATTTGGGATATATACTGGGTTAAAAGGCAGACTTCAAGGCAATCACAGTCAACTTGCTGAGGAGGCAACACTTGCCAATGATCAGGTTGTATCTACATTCCTACATGCGCTTGGAATTATACGTGGCGCTGCTAGTTCATGTTCAACAGTTCTGTCGTGGCCTCAATTGTGTGGCTGTCCACGGGATTAATAGGGTTTCGGGTTTCAGGGCGCCTTGTGCGGGAGTCTTCATAAACTCCGGATACCCTTCCATTTTTGTTGGATGTTGAATGACTTGCTGTTGTCGCGAGGGTCTGCTTGAGAATAAGGCTCCTGATGGTATAGATATACCAAAAATTCTACTCTGCATTATACGACCCTCAAAGCAAGGACCCTATTTGTTGAAACCTCTATGGTAAAGTAGTAGCTATGTTGGTCGAAGAGAGATGAGGAATGTTCCAAAGCCTGGAGCTCGAGATGGAGATGAACCACAACTACGGGCTTATAGGCTCTTATAGGGGTTATATAGTAGGGTTATATGGGGATTATGTAAGGATTATACTGCGGCGGGGTGAAAGTTCGTCACACTTGCGCATCCTTGCATAAGTTCTGCACAAGTCATGCGCAGCCCCCTTCCCGCATAGACTCATCCACCACGTCCTCCGTCCGGAACAAGTAAACTATCCACCACGCCCTCCGTCAGGAACAAATAAAGTATCCATCACGTCCTCCGTCAGGAACAATTAGAGTAATATGGGCTGATGCCGGTCGATTAATTCCTCCACAGGCCACGGGAAACACACTTCAGAGTACTTGGCGACCTGCGCAACACGAAAGGAGGCATAGGCGACGTAACTTTATTCCTGGTAATACATGTTGGGTTATTTGGGGTTTCTAGGGACGACAGTTTCCACAAGTCAGGGGCCCCTTTTCCGAGTGTGGGTAACAAGGACTATTAGTGGGGTGTTGATGGGGTCCACTGTTCAGGGAAGTCCCCAACAAGCATTCCAATTGGCACACCTAACAGCACATTCGTAGAATGATGCTTGAAATTGTGGCCGTGCCTGCAGCGACAAGCATGGTCTTGTCGTCCTTCAGGTGGCAGACGACCACGACTGAGGCTAGCATGCGCAGTTGTCACCTTCTTGAGTTCTCTTTGGCCAACTCTAACCCCTAAACCCTCAAACCTCTGTTCCAAATGACTCATTGCTTAGCACTCCTCCTACTCTCTATGCCTTCCTAGACTGGCAAGGACGACAGAATTGTAGCAGCAGCGACCACTCCAACCACTTAAACGTGCTTTCCAGAGAAATAGCTGCTACCTACTGCTGCTGCTGCCGCCGTTGCCATGCCGCTAGTTTGCAGAGTCTGTTGTGACAGCATTACGTGGTATAGATTTCCAGGTATGGGAAAACCCTAGCTATGACCAGTCAATTGTCGAGGGCGTCTTCTGATTATTATTGCAGATAACACAAGCATGTCGTCTTATGCGTACTGCCCTCCAACTTATACGCGATTACAATCCCACTGGCCAGTCCACTTTTCATTCTGTTTTCCGTCAGACGCGCAAAATACCCCTTTACATACTGACAAAGCCCTATTGACCCAGCGAATTTAGGCGTGACAACTGCGCAGTTGTCAGCAGCGATGCACAGCAGCTTCAATAACCTCCCTAGCAACAATACCTGTAAGTTGGACACTGCTCCCCCGCGCAGTAGCAGATGGAACATATTTCCATCATGAGTATAGGCCCTTGCTGTCCCCCCTTTTGTAAACTGTTATTGGTTGGGACCAGTACCAAGCCTATATCCCTTTTACATCGTGGGTAATTGTACTCTGGGGACTTATGCTCGGGCTATAACTACAGTTAGTATGCAGATGATGTAGAGGGCCATGGCTATGTGAAAAAGCATGTTGTCTTCGTTGGGGGATACGCTCGAGGTGGAATCGCCACACCCCATTTCAGGGATCTTGAGCGCACTCAGGTTGCAAATCAGGTTTGAAACAGGCTGCTCATTAGATGTCATGTTCAACCTAACACGTCGACAAACCACAACAGCCTCCCAGAAGCACGAGGCCAACTTTGCCAGCACACACACACACACACACACTCTTAGTGGCATGAGACATAGTCAGAACTCCTGAAAAGGTTGTCCATAGACTGGGTACCAGCTGCACAGCGGAGTTCTGACTCATGCTAAGATGCCTGTGACTGCACGTCACGGCCGTGGAGGTTAGTGGTTGTCCCGCCAAGGTTTGATTTGCATCATGGGTCAATGGGTTTGATGCTTGGTTTTGGAAGGAGCGGCAGCAAGTTGCGAGGCAAGGTTCTCTAGGTTTGTGCATCTCGCTGTCATGTACCTAACCCGCTGGTTGCCAAGCTGCTCGGTCCTTGATGTAGATCTTGGTGCTGTCTCCAGCCCTGCCCACACATACTACATGATACTAGACAAGACCGCACCATTATCAGATCGTATTATGCCATCTATACTATACTATGTTATACTATGCTATACTATTCTATACTATACTGTACTAGACTACTTTCAGGAGCCTACCATGCACTACCTAGACTGTTGAGGGTTCAGGGTTTCAGACAGCCCGCGCAGTGACTCGACCGAGCATTTCGAAAAGTTACCCCTAGTTGAAGGCGCGAGGCTCCAAAGCTAAGAGTTCATATAAAGTTTAGGTGTAGGGTTCAGGATTTAGGGTTCAGTGTTCTGGGAGACCGAGTCCGCAGGAGAGAGAGAGAGAGTGTTCAGAGTTCAGGATTTATGGTTTAGGGTTCAGGGTTCAGGATTTAGGGTTTAGGGTTCAGGGTTTAGGGTAGAGTGCATAGTATGCAGCAACTTGTGTATAGGTTTCGGGAGAGTAAGAGTACCTGGCATGTAGCAGTAATTAGTAGAATCATAACAGTGATTGAGGCTTTCTCGAAGTGCCCTTAAAGATGCTAAATAGGACATGTAGAGTTTGTCAGCAGATCAGAGGCACCCCCTTAGAAAGGCCTAGGATATAGGGTAGGGGTTGTTATGAGAAACGCCCGCCCTCCGAATGAGTGACAGCTGAAGGCCCTGAATTAGGTCGGGCACACTTTAATTTGTTTGCAAGAGTTGACCTAGACGCTGCAGAGATCTGGGCTACAAGGGGCTATGTAGGAAGCTGGTTTTGACGCAAGAAGCCTTCATGCTTTTCAGAAGGCCGTGCGTACTGGGCTTTTAAGCAGGAGTTTCTCAATGGTCACGAGCCTCACCCCACTGGCCTTGCGTAACCTAAAAGAATGCGAGTCCATGGGAGTTGTGATTATTACTGCTATTACTGCGTACTATCATTATTGATATGTTTGTTATTTTTTATTTTCATTTCTATTATTATGAGCGGCTCTCTGGATCAAAGCATGCTTTCTGGTGGTCACACGCTTTGTTTTTTTCTCAGAATTCAGGCTTTAGGGTCTGGCCTGTTGTTGCTGAGCAACCAGCTCAAGCCCCGAACTCCAAGCCCTAAGTGAGATGCTTGCTGTGGACTTGTCGAACCTTGAAGTGGTCCGCACAATGCTCCAAATCTTAAATTGAGGGTTTCCCGACATTAAGGTTACGTTACGCATACGTTTGGGGGGAGTACTGAGAATCAGGATTATCAAAATTGGGTCTATATTGGGGTCCGTCTCTTTTCGGAAACTTCCGAATCTTTCTGAACCACTGTCCGCCCTCCAGTCCGCAAAATTTAGACCTTATTCATTGCTGCAACAAATCCGGTCCTCCTGGCCCAGCCCTGACTAGTAGAATCCCACTAGAAGGACACTCTCACATCCTAGGAAGCTATAGGGGTGGCAAAAGCATTGAAGCTGCGGCAGCTTTTGTTAAAGTCAAGGCTGGGTACTATTTGCATCCGCATGTGCTGATTCGGGAGCTTTCTAAAGTTAGCCCTTTAGAATCTTTAGTCGGATCCCCGAGTACTCCCCTGTCAGGCCCACATCCCTACACTCAAATCCCCAAGCCCTAAACCCCAAATCTAGATCCCTAAACCCTGAAGCCCCAAAGCCTTGAACCATATG